TGACAAGCTGGTTTACACATTAAAGGTGCCCGCAGCCGCCTCCCCTCTGCGGTGACCCCTGGCGCGGCGGAGCTGGGTGCAGCCGCGCGCAGGGAGCTGGCATGTTCCAAGCGCAGCCCGGAGTTAGGACGTGATGAGGGGCAGGGCTTTTCCCTCCCACCTCCCTAGGAGTTCGGAACTACCCTGATGCAGCGAGTTGTGCGTGAGGCTTCCCTGGGACTGCAATCTGCCTGCATTGTCCACAGCGTGGGCGCACACAGGGGTGGACGGTTTTGCTCGCAGGCACATTGCCCAATGTGCATAAGAAGTTGGCCACATGCTCCTGCGTGCAACCCCCGCTGCTTTGAGCACACCCATTCCTTGCACATGCACAAGTCAGGGCACGCAAGGGTGCGCATCTACTTTCACCCATTTGCTAATGAAAACGTCGGCAGCAGAAGACCTTGCCCTGAACAGTTGGCAGGCTAGTAGCTGGTTGCTGTGCCAAATTTAGCTGATGTGGCAGAAGAAAGCTGTCTAGCTCTCACTGGTATTTCAAAGGCGCCTCTACCCTGGTATCTCCACACCAGATGTAATGCCACAGTAGGCAGATCTTAATCTGGTTGCTGGGTACTTGATTTTTACATTCGTAATGAATATTAATAATAGTAACGTACTTCTCTTTTATAGTGTCTTTTATTCAAGGTTCTCAGTGAGCTTTGTAAACATTAATTAAGCTTTTGTATTGTATCACTTCTGTATTGTAGACTCTATTATCACCAGTTTGCAAGGCTATAAAATAAATGGAGCAAATTCAATGTCAGAATTAAGAATAGAGTTATGATGCCGCCTGGCCTACTAGAAACCAACAGACAGCAGCTCCTGATCCTCCAGGTTGCCCCCAAGGAGCTCTGGGATACATCGAGAAGACTTCTGGAAACCCAAATCAAACTGGGCCACATGGAGATGGGAAAGCAATAGAGCTCAGACTTAACAGGTTCTTAGACCTTCAGTCCTGCAGGGTTCTGGGACCATAGCTCCAAGCTCTATGTTAACACAATTGGTGTGTGGGTGCAAGGGGTTAGTTGTTCTGCATAAATTTCCTCCCTTTGGCTTAGTGGAGTAGGCTGAAATTCCTCTCAACATACATTTTAAAATCATGCTTATCCTACTTAGCTGCACTTTTGGAAGGAACATATCCAAGCGTGATCGACAAGGGATTGGAGTAATCTGGAGAGTTTGTGAATGGAATAAGAGGCTGTTAAAGAAAAAGTTCAGGAAAACATATGTTGTTGGTAGTGATTTATGAAAGTAACTAGAAAATCACTGATGCTCACTACTATGGAAAGCAATCAGCCAGCTATTTCTTACTGAAGGAAAACTGGAGCCACCCATTATTATAATACAGCCAGTGCTTAATTTGCAATGAAAGATGTGGTGGGGCTCAAGTAATTTTTTGTGGGTTGGTT